AAAAAAAATATTTTCTGTGGTAACAGGTATTTCTCTGATTAATTATTAGACCAGATTTTTTTCACGAGACACAAACTGCAGGGAGGAAACACACAACTTTGGGCACAAATAACTAAATGTGCAGCAAACTGTAACATTTATGTAGATAACGATTATCCGCCCCACTAATATTTATACTCAGGAGCCACTACTGATTTGTACCACTATTTTTATTTACTTTTAGCAAAATCAACAATCTCTGTATTCTGTCTCCTTTATCAAGAACCTAATGTTTTTGTGACGGCCGCCATTTGTGATGAAAAATGATCATGTTAGGTTTTCAGAGCAGCAGGGTGTGTGCTCACCAGTCATTCAATGTGTGCTTGTTTGTCTCCTCCCTTCAAGTATTTATACCATGTTTTTATCTTAATGTGGAGGAAGGCTGGGTGTCACCAGCTGAAGTTAAACTGTTTAAACCAGTTTACCAGTATAAAACCCACCAACACAYGCTGGTTGTGTGCCACTCCATGTTCGGTCTCCCTGGCAGGTCTGAACAGAGTCTCCCTGAGGAGGAAGAAGAAGAAAAAATTAAAGAGCGTGTGATGAGCTCAGCACAGCAATACATCTTGTACTGATCTGAGCTGCAAGAGAAACAGGATACTATCAAGTACAAATTAGGTCTATGATATCAATATTTCATTTAAAGATTTTTCTTTTTGGCATTACAAAGATATCTAAGTGCTTTTAAAGCCTTCAGTTTACTCTGTGTGTGTGTCTGTGTGTGTGTGTGTGTGTGTGTGTGTGCTCACTCCATTAAAAAGCTCTAATGGCACAAAGTGTTCAAACTGGACATGCTCCACGGGTATCAGGGTTTCAGCAACGGTGACTCAGCTCTTTCTGCTGGCTATGAAACCACACACTCCTATTGACTGCTGAGGTGAAATCATGTGACTTTCTGTAATCTGATTGTTCGTCATTAGCTCAGTGTGCAGCCAGCTGTTAAAGAGACAGAGACTGGCTTTTTAAAATAAYAATTCAATTTACAAACACGTTTCTAAACAAATAAGTTTAGGAAAAGCATCAAATTTTATAATTAAGATATTTTCATATGTGAAATCCATATTAGGCTTAGCTGTTTAATATTTTATCTGAATCATTAATGTAGTGATTATACAACTTCAAAATTTAAAATAAGAATTGGGTAAATGTGAACTGAAGGTTTCTAACATCTTTAAACTAGGGCTGTCAAATGATTAAAATTTTTAATCTATTAATTCCAAGGTAGCTGTGAATTATATAAAACTTTTAAATTTTTAAATATTATTTATTTATTAAATAAATAAAATAATTTAAGCCATAAGAAGACAAAGAGAAAAACAAAACTGTACATAATATGTTACACATGGAGTTTTTTGTTTTATTTTATTTTATTGAACCTTTATTTATCCAGGTAAACTGTTTGAGAACTTCTCATTTACAAACATGACCTGGCATGAACTGAGTGCATTGCAATATACAAAYCTACATATYCAGCCATAGTAAAGTGATTGTAAATTTTAATCATGATTACAATTTTAATCTACGCCCATGCAGCACTAAAATTAATCAGAGTTAACTCAATTAATTTCACAGCCCTACTTTAAACTGATGAGACGATTTGACCACAGTGAGACGAATAAAGTCCCGGCTCCAAAACTGAAACCTTCAAGATCAGCAGAAGTTTGCAGCTGTCCACATGCAGACAAATACTTCTTAAAGAAACATTTATGGCCACATCTTAAAGATGCATGTTTGAAGGAGGGTGGGCTTTTAAACCTAAGAACACTGAATCAACTGTGAAGCATGGTGGTGGCAGCATTATGGTGCTGGTGCACTGCACAAAAGAGAGATTTAAGTTTCAAGCAGAAAAAGGAGGATGATGGAAAATTTATGAGTGATTTTTGTCATTTGTTATTATTTTTACAGTCATCCAGGGGACATGAGTTATTTTTAATTTTAATGAAAAAAATTGGTTCTTTCTCAGATTGTGTAAGTGTGAGGCTCAGATTCTCATCTCTTTCTACACATCAAAGAGGAAGAATGTTTACGGTGGACATGAGTTGTTATTGTCTCTCGGGCACGACCACGTTTCTGTACGTGACGGACAAAACACAGCTGACTGGGGGCTTGTTTCCACCTGCAGTGTATGAGTTTAGATGAACATATTTTTTAGAAAACCCATGTCAAACTCTGCACTCAGTATGACTTCCAAGAGTTACTGTTAAGCAAGAATCTCGCAGGAATAAAGAAACAAACTAGAATTTCATCTCATTTGTTGAAATATATTATTAAAATGTTTTTTTTCAAAAAGCGAAAACTACCTCCAAACCCTCATCAACTAGACCCAACCTGGGGGCCTCATAAACCTGGTCAGAGGTTGTGAAAATATCAATTTATTATTGTGTACAAAAATCACCAAAACAAGTCCATTTGAATAATTAAAACTGTATAACTCAATTCTTTCTTTTCCTTCACCAAATAAAGTTTGTAACTATTCAATTTATTTTTTTATTATTTGATAAAGAGGCAAAAACTGAACAGGACTTTGGGAGAGGTGTGGAGTAGCGAGGGATGAGGGGATGTCAGTTTGGCTTGGAAGGAAGAAAGGGGAGCTTTGAGGAAAATACGCTGGGAACCACTGAACGAGACAGAGTAAGATGTTCCAACAGGACAATGATCCCATTAAAACTGATTACTTAATGGATAAATGAGCTAACATTAAACTTCAGAAAGGCTCTTTCTACAGCTCATTGAAAACCTGTGGGTTTTAAAGCTAAATCCACACCATGAAATCAAACTATTTTAATCAATCATACAAATTCTGCCAAGAAGAGTGGTCAAATATCAAACCAGATTTGTGCCAGAAGCTTGCTGATGAAAACAAAACAAGTGTGGTTGAGGTACAACTTGCTAAGGGACGTTTAATTAAATATTTGTAGAAGTACTGTATATATTTGAGCCTGCATGTATAAGTTTGACCCTGTGTGGATTAAAAAAAAACCCACAATAAATGAAAAGTTCTTGTTTTTAAATCAGCTTTGAAGTTGTATGATTTGTACTCATTCCAATCCTAAAATCAACATGCATGCACATGATGAGTGTATGTAAGCTTCAGAGCACAGWTGAATTGTGTTTAGGAGCCAAACTGATCCTGAAGAGTACCTTCATCTCAAATCCAGGCAGGCAGGAGTACAGGACAAAGTCTCCGTAGTTGTAGCTGTCACCCTCCATGAAGCCATGAAGAAGAGGAGCAGGTTTCTCACACACCACCACCTCGCAGGAAACTGATAAAATGTTGGGAGCCCAGCTTCCGCCCATCTTATCACAGAGCACACAAAACAAGCCAATAAAGTAGATGTTTACTCAAGGTCTCCTCCTGAGAGACGGGGAAGACTTTCATGTGTCATTGACTTTTTGATCACAGTGATGAATAATGTTTAAACAGCAAACAGATGTTTCTGGAAAGGTTTCACAAGGCTCCATTCAAAAATAAATAAATAAAAAGAAATCATTAACGTTATATTTTTCCAACAGGTCATTTGTTGGCTGAATGGGGTCAGAAATGAGTTCACTAAAAAGGGATCGGCAAAGAGACAAATCATTAGCCACCATGTTTCCTACCTGACACTCCGCTACAGCTGACCCCTGCAGGTAGAAGCCAGGAAGGCACGAGAGGGTGACGGTGCCCCCAACAGGAGTGAGGTCCTTCCCGCTGATTAGCAGATGTGGGGTGATGTGGGTGGGTAATCGGCAGGGGGCAGGGCGGCACTGGACGCTGTGTTTGGACCAGGTGCCGTCACTCTGGCAGGACAGAGAAGCTGTCTTTGTGGCAGGTTCAAATCCGTCCACACATCTGCAGAGCAGAAGACATGCATAAAAGAACATATTTAATATTTACAAAACAAACAAATATGCTTATAACGTCCACCATTTTTGTTCAAAAAAACTAACTTTGATTTAGACTATTTAAGGAACTAAATTTAGCACAGAAAATATAGAAATTTGTGCTTGGTTGATTATTTCTTTAACAATGATTTGTGGCAATAAATCATATTCTGTTGAAATGTTTATTTACTCTAAATGATGCCATATTTGAGTATTTGAATTCATTAAAAAACTTGCCAAATCTTCTTTGGCAATGCCGAACAGCTTATTCTGCTACTGACTCATGTTTGGTGTCATTGATTGGATTGCATGTTGGAAGTCTTACGACAAATTGGAAATTTAACAATTTATTTATATAACAAACAGGAGCCTCTACAGCGTGCGGAAGAACCCTACACAGCCACAACAKTCTGGCAMCTCCTCCTCATGCTGCTCACCAGTCTGGCCACACACTGCTATGGGATGGCGTCCCATCCTTCAACCAGCATGTGTAACAAATCGGCCAGCATGGTTGTGTTGGTCACTCTAGAAAGAACAGCACACCAAAACTGATCCCACAAGCAGACTTTTAGCTAAGATTTTGGAAGAGGGTGTCTACATCCTAAGGTCGGGGCTGCCCAAAGAGAACTGATCAATAGCAGAGCTTACATCCTTCACGTGTCGTGTATCAAAACAAACAAGATGGTGAGCCTGGCACACTTTTGAATCAAAGGATTTGCTTAAAATTGGTGTTAATTTTAGAAAATAGGAAATATTTGTTGATTTAGGGTGTTGTTACACAAGCATGGGGCATGAAAATGACACCACAATGCCCCTCTAGCTAAAAGCTTGCCCACAAGTGTTCAGTGGGTTTGAAGTCAGGACAGCAGGCAGAACATTCCATCTTCTTCATACCCAAAGTCTGGAGGTAGTCTCTGATAAACCACGCTCTGTGGGGTGAGCGTTGTCATCTTGGAGGATGGATTTTGGTCAGACTGTGGAGATATGGGATCGCCACTGGTTGCTCACATGTTGACAATCAGGCGCCAACTAGGCGTTCGATTGGAGAATCTGGGGCTACCCAACGCTCAAAATAAGTGTCAACAGCAAGAGCAAAATAAGTTGTTTGGTATCGGCAGAGAAGGTTTGGCTATTTTTTCATGGGTGTAATCCATGTAGTACTGCTCAATACACTAATTCATTTTTCTTACAAATGTGACACCATTTATAGGGGAAATTAACAGGCTCTCCAACGATATAAAATTTATTGCCAAGAAGTATGGTTACAACAAGGAAATAATCAACCAAACACAAATTACTTCTTGTTCTATGCCTCTTTACCTGTATGTGATCTTGTTGGGGAAGGTGAAGTCGTTTCCATCCACCAGAGCGTGAGCTACTTCAGGTGGTTTCCCACAGCTCACAGGCTCACAGCGGATCCTGGGTTCTCCCCACCTGCCATCTTGTCCACAGGAGAGGTGAGGATACCCTTTCAGTAGATAGCCGAGTCGACACCTGTATGTCACTGTGTCTGGGAATTTAGCAACACCGCCTTGTAAGACGGCGTTCAGGACCACAGGTGGGGCAACACTGCATTTCCCTCTGCCACACACTGGCACCCCTGGGCTCCACATCCCTCCTTTCTCACACACTGCCTGAGAAGGACCCAGCAGTTTGAGGCCCTCATCACACTGGAACTGCACTCGATCCCCACAGGCGTGGCCGTTCCCAATAACCCTMCCAAACTGAACCTCAAGTGGGGGGCATAAACAGGGCTGGCACTGAGGCACAGAGCCCACCCAGAGGCCCTGAGAGGAGCAGCGCAGCATGGTATCCCCCACAACCCTGTAACCTTCGAAGCACACGTACTCCACCACGTCGTTGTAGTTGAAGCTGGAACCGTTCACAAAGCCGTGACTGATGTCCTCAGGTGGGTCGCAGCTAATGATGTCACAACGAGGCGGGGGTTTGTCCCAAAGTCCATTTGACTGACAGACAAGTGTAGCATCTTCGTTTAACTTGTATCCTTCATCACATTCATACTTAACTTTGTCGTTGTAGCCAAACTGTGACCCTAACACGTGGCCATGGGGTATGGAGGAGGGTTTCCCACAACGAGCCGGTAGGCAAGAAGGGAATTCGTAGCTCCAGGTGCCGTCAGCCTGACAAACACCTCTAGATGTCCCTTTCAAGAGGAAACCAGGCTGACAGCTCAGTTCAATTTCACTATTATAGGTGTAATCTTTACCTTCAATGATTATATCATTAGGCACCTTTGGAGGGCCACAAGATACAGGATCACAAAGTGGCTTTGGCCCATTCCACTTTCCATCTGCCTGGCAGGCGATGGTGTCTGTACCCCTCAGAACAAATCCAGGATTACACTCAAAGTGCATAACTTCCGGATAAACAAATTCCCCACCATGAGCTGTGCCATTAGTGAGAGCTCCTGGATCACCACAGGATACCGGTCGACAAACTGGGGCGTCACTAGTCCACAGCTGACCTGACAGACACTGCCTGACAGGCTCCCCCAGCAGCTCATACCCCTCCTCACAAGAATATCTGACCGAGCTGCCGAGCAAAGCATCAGTCACATTCACCCAGCCGTGCTCTGGACTGGGCGGGGTCTCACACTCTGCTGGCACACATGATGGGGCTRTCCCGTTCCACCCCCCGTCCTCCTGACACACCAACCTGGTCTGGCTGCTGATGTTGTAACCTGGGTGGCAACGRTACTCAATCACAGTCCCGTGGAGGAAGTTCAAATCCATGGGTGGAGCTGTTAAAGGGTCTTTGGGATCAGAATCGGTCACTCTGACATAATCCCCAAAGTCTATATGAGGAGGCAGGCCGCAGTCTGAGGGCACACACATAGGGACAGAACTGGACCAGCCAAACTCCTCGCAGGTCAGATGATCCTGGCCTAAGAGCTGGAAGCCTGGAAAGCAGCTGTAGAAAATAGTGACKCCAAAACTGTGATCCTGACCCTCCACAAAACCGTTTTCAATTGGTTGGGGTGGAGTGCATGAAATCTGCATGCAAGCGGGCGGCTCTGAGTCCCACTCTCCATCAGCCAGGCACTTGATAATCTCTGGGCCTTGCAGGCGGTAACCACGTCGACAAGAGTAGGTGGCACTGTGACCAAACTGGAGTTTCCTATAAACCACTTTTCCACTGGCTATCTGTTTAGGGACGGAGCATTCAACTGGACGGCAAGAAGGCACGCCACCGATCCAGAGTCCCTTCTCTCCACAGAGGACCGTGGAGTTCCCCACCAGATTGTATCCAGCCTTACAGCTGTACAGAGCTTTGCTGAGGTACACCAGGCCCTGCACATCAACTATACCATTTGAAACCTCCACAGGCTGAGGGCATTCAACTGGGATGCATTCTGGGTAAGGAGTACTCCACTGTCCACTTGCTAAACAGGAAACAGATGTTTCTTTTCTTAAAGTAAAACCACCTATGCACGTGTAGGTAATCATGGAGCTAAAAGGAAATGAAGGAGAGGCTGTGGACAGACTACCAAATGTAACTTCAGGTGGTGGGCCACAGAAAACCTGCTTACACACTGGAAAGGTGTTGTTCCACTCCTGAGAAGGGGTGCAGCGGAGGACATGAGCCCCCTCCAGGATATAACCATCCTCACAGGATAACTCCACTGTTCCAGATTCAGAGTCCAAACTTTTCAGGACCAGGTGGTTCTCCTCTAGCGGAGGCTCTGGACATCTGACTGGAGAGCAGCGTGGAGGCCTCGTCTTATCCCACTTGCCGTACTTGAGACAAGTCCAGATGGCATCCCCAGCCAGCTCATAACCCTCAGCGCAGAGATATTSCACTTTGTGGCCCACGTGGAAGTCAGAACCTTTGTAGCGTCCGTGGACGATGTCAGGAGGAGGGTCACAGGTCAGAAGGACACAGGTGGGAGGGTYGTTGCTGGACCACTGTCGGTTGGCTTGACAAACTCGCTCTGGTCGACCAACTAGTCTGTAGCCTGCGTTACAGGCATAAGTCACCTTGTTGTTGAAAGTGAATCGACCTCTGACCTAAAGGACAAACATACACTATGAGATTTGTTTATATATTCAAAGAACAATTAAAGCAAGGTGTAGAACTACAGTCCTGGAGGGCCGCTATCCAGCATGTTTTCTTGTTTTCCTGCTCAAACACACCTGATTTGCATGAAAGGATGATTAACAGGCTTCTGCAGAATTTGAAGAGGCAAYTRAATCTTTTAATCAGGTGTGCTGGAGCAGAGAAACAAGGAAAACATGCAGGGTAGGTCCTGAGTTTGACACCGCTGGATTAAAGTGTGTGTTCTGTTTTTGTTGCTCACCTGGATRTATCCATTTAAGAGTATGGGAGGAGCTGAGCAGGACACAGGTATGCAGGTAGGCAGGACTCCTCCCCATTCTCCACTAGCCTTGCAGGTCCTCCTCTTCTCCCCTCGAATCAGGTAGCCCGTCTCGCAGCTGTACGCGATCATAGCTCCAAAACTGTAATTTGTTCCTCTCACGTAGCCCCGATCGATGCTTTCTGGTCTGGAGCACCTCACCGGCACACAGCCTATGTCAAATGGCGACGGCTCCCACGTCCCTCCCATCAGGCATCTGATTGTAGCGGTGGTGTTCAGCATGAAGCCTTCCTCACATTTATAGCTCACCTCGGTGTTGCTGGCATATTTGGGTTTGTTGAAYGAATCTAAAATGGCATGCGGGGGATCAGGTGGACGTAGGCAGAAGTTGGCAATGCAGAYTGGAACCTCCATGCCCGTCGGAGGGACCCACATGCCCTGAGCGTTACACATGAGCTTAGAGTTGTTGCTGGCCGTGTATCCGTCAGTGCAGTAGTAGCTGGCAGTGTCTCCAAACAGCTTGTGGGTCTCGTGGGGCACGGCGTGGTCGATGGTGGGCGGCGGTCCACAGGAACGAGGCACACATTGGAGGAAGTCTTCACTCCATTGGCCGCTTGGAAGACATTCTCTGGTCTCGGGRCCAATCAGAGTGTAGCTGCATATGAAGAGGGTCATCAGGAATGAGTAAACAAATAACATATAACAACTTAATGGACTTAAATCCGCATTTACCCTTCTTTGCAGACATAGTGAACCTTGCTTCCCACTTCATARTCCTCTACGACAATTTCAGCATCTGCCAGTGCTGGAGGCTTGCTGCACAGGATGCTGATGCAGCGAGGGGTGGGCCAGCTCCACTCCCCCGTCGCCTCACAAACCACCTCCATGGAACCCTGTGGTCTTAAAAACAACAGTCCACTTAGTGTAGACAGTTACATTATGAGGTTCTAATGTCTCAGKTAAATAAAACTGACTCAAAATACCATACCTGTATCCCTCCACACAGGTGTAGTTGACAGTGGAGAGGTAAGTGTTGGTGTGGAAGGTGTAGTCAGCGTGTTCCACCCTAGGCGGCCCCCCACAGGTCACCGGGTAACAGATGGGGGGTGTACCGCTCCATCTCAAGGTGGAGAGGCACTGGAACTCATAGGGTATCTGAGGYAGGTAGCCTTTCTTACAGCTGAGGAGCAACAAACAACAATCTTGTACTTTTATCTGCACAAAATAACCAAGGTCTGCTTCTGAATTGTGACACCTGGTGATGGAAATGATACCTGAAAGTCACCTTGCTGCCATAGGTGAAGTTGTTTCCCTTCATGACAGAGTTCTCTGGAACAGCTGGTGTTGGGCAGGAGAGGGCTAAAGGGTAATATAAAGACAGTGATCAGTAACCAGTGCTGTGTTATTTTAATATTTCACTGAAACCTGAATATAAATAAATGTATGCCATCATTTGTGCACACCACTTCCTGCTATGAATTGTTGCTATAAAACATCACCAAAACCTTGGAAGACAAGCTAAATTTAAACACAGTTCAAAAAGTACTGTTTGGTATATTCTTGTATTACAWTACAACCAAAACACAAAAGTACAAAATATGAAAGAAATTAAAGGAACCTCTGGCTCACATGATCATTTCTATAATAAGTAAATGATACTGTTGTTGCAATATGTTTCTCTAACAAATATGAATAGACATGATTGAGTTTTTGTTGTTGCAGATGTTAATGTTATATGTTTCAGGTGCTTCAACCTGCATGACAAACTGTAMAGTGTTTCCCTTTAAAAGGCAATCATTACTGCAGTTAACAGACAACAGGGGTCTGAACATAACAGAGTGGAACCGGCGAGCCAAGTCCACCTCCCTTTCCTCTGAGAGGAAGAATGTGGCTCAGAGCCAAGGTGGAAGCTCTGCAGCAGTTGGGCTTTTCTGTCTATTGTTCAGTAGAAAACAAAAGGACAGCTGCACCTTTCAGGTTTAATTTTATTAAGTCTGTCATAAAACAGATAATCAGTAGATACTCTCATATTAATGCACAGATGAGAATGCACGAGATATTCAATTAGYCATTATCTGATAGCTATAATGATGCAGAAAGAACAACATTAAACTAAATATGATTGTGTGAGGTGACAGATCAGAAAATAGAAGAAATGACTGCAGTATACAGATGAGGACATGTGTGGACAATAACATTTTTCTCTAGAACTGCTCTGTTGTTTTGAAMCAAAGAAAATTAAAATTACTGACAAAAGCAACAAATACAATGACCTTATCGCTATGCATATTACTGTATTTCTACTACTACTAATAGTAGTAATGGAATTGCTTACTCAGGGATACAGTTTATACAGTTTTGTTTTAACWATCACAGATGTAACAACAATGTTTTGCTACTTTTTGTCTTTATTCAGACTTACATTTTTCTGGATGAAAATTTCCTGTTTTATGATAAAACTTCATAAAAGTAAAATACTGAATAWGAAAATGTTTAAACAAAAAACAAGCTGGTGTACCTTTTAAAAAGTAGTTGAAACCTAAAGATAAAACAGACACATCTAAATAATAA